TAGGACAGCGACGGCAGCCCGGGCAGCTGCGCCCCGGACGCGCGGAAATTGGGGAAATAGAAGGTGTCCCCCGTGTGGATGTTCACCAGCGGCCCCACAAACCCGGGATTCAGGAGATTATGCTCTCCCATTTCCGCGGGGCCCGACCGGCAGCTTCTACTTTATTGCTATCTGACATTAAACATAGTTAAACCTGCACCGGCCACCCATTGGCCGTCCAACTCACGTGGGTGCCGCCGCCAGAGGGATGGGTGGGGACAGCGAATCCCCCCACCCCGCACCATTCCAACTTCCCCCTTCCCCAATGGGGGGGGGGGCGCACGAAACGCGGGGACAGATTTATTCGCTGGTTTCTAGTTTTTTAAAGAAATCATATAAAACCGAACGCAGAGAGCGAGGCAGTCGCCCGACGCGGGGCAAGGGGAAAATAGCCACACCAAAAAGACCCGCACATACACACTTCTGCACCCTGCACGCGCCCCCCCCCCCAGATGTATTATCTTCTCACCAACAGCTGGCCCAGCACAGCCCGTCCCTCTTTAATTAGCTCCTTTATTAACTAAAACCGTTGGAATTTACAATATCTCCCCAATAAATTACTATTAGATATTGTGTCATATAAAGTTTACTGGCTGTTTAAGGAGACGGATGAGCCCTTTGGCTCGGGGTTTATTTACAGTAGAGGCGAGTGGGGTAAGGGCAGGTTCTCCTGCTGCTATCTTTCTCGGCCCTGTGGCTGCTGAGCTTTTCTTCTTCAGCTCTTTCTCCTCAGGAATTGGGGGAGGCATGTGGGGCCCTTTCCTCCAGGAAGGACTCAGGGAGCATTATTAATGTAGGGTCTCCCCGCCATGCTGGGAGCCACCCTCTCCTCACACGTCCACGCAACCTGTAGAGAAAGGATGCAGAGGGAGGCAGGAAAAGAAGGCGCCCAGCTCTATGTGAACCTGCCTACCTGCTCTTGAGAATGTGGGGGCTTGGACTGCTCTTGACTGTGATTCTGTGGGTCACAGGGGCTTCTGGGGGAACCTCCCAGAGTCTTTGCAAGAGAGTCTCTGGGCCCCTAGCAGAGCTTGGTTGGCCTGGGAAGATCCTGACACCCACTGTGAAGAAGACATTGGCCCAACCTGCTCTGGGACCATCAGATAGCAGTGCTGAGGCCACTAGGTGTGCTGGGAGCGAGGGAAAGAACTCTAGAGAACCATCCTGTTGGGGGCTTAAAATTATGTTTATGGTGCTGGCCTCAGCAGCTCCGCCGGGAAAAGGCTGAGTACCCAATGCTGCCATTGGTGAGACTCATCAAGGTAGGGAAATCACAAACCCGTTCCAACTAAGTCCACAGAACATAGTCAAGTGGATTAAAAAGGAGAAAAAAACACACAAACCAACACACACACATATAATACAAAAACCTTCAAAAGTAGGTGTATTCTCTCGGAGCCTAGTAGACAAAATAGTCGAATTTCCATGTGATTATTTCAGGCTCCTTATCCAATGCCCAGCTTTAGTAATACGAGGTGAGATAAATAGTTCAGGAAACATCTAAATATGAGAAAGCACCAGAAGATTTAGAGAAGATTAGAGACTAAGAGACTCCATATGGGAGAGAAAAAACACACCCATGTAGGTGAAAGTTAAATGTCTGAGCAAAAGCCGAAGCAGACCGGAGCAAAAAAATTCTCATCTCCTTTTTTCTCTCTCTTCTCTGCAGGACGCAGCGGAGAGAGACGCAGATTCTTAGAATTCCACAGCTCCGGGCGATTTCATATCCCAAACCATAGCTGCTCACTCCCCAGAAATGCGTCCGTGCAGGCGTCGCCCAGCCGGCCTGCCCTGCTGGCCCGCAGTTAGACGCTCCGCGTCTGCCCCTTCCCCACCCCAGCACG